CCATAAGTGCCGTCCAGTGGCCCATGGTCGCCATCATGGAGATGCGGCCGTGCTTCAGCTCCACGGATCGACGGCGCTTGAATGAGGCAACATCGCCATCGGAGGTGAAGCCGACGGGATCCCAGAACCCGACGGGGTCCTGCACGCCGAGCTCGCTCTCGAACGCCCGCAGAGGCGACGCGGTGTAGTTGGCCCAGTCACCCCAGGCGGATCCTGTGAGTCCATCCTGGAAGAACCTCAAATGCACAACACCTTAAGACACTGCAGCCTGCTGCCCTGCATCAAAGGAGTCATCACAGCACGAGAGAGCACGGAGCTGCATGATCCCAGCTGATCAAACCAATCCTTCCAATCATTCCAAAAACCTATACGACGCCCTTCGCACTGAAGCACGAAGCAACTTCACGGAAAGACTAATTCCTTCGAGGGACATGCCAATGATGGCCATCATGGCCAGTCTTCCATTCGCAAGCTCGGCATTCCTTGACACTGCCACGTTTCACTTGCTGCAGGGCAGGATGCATGCTGACAACATGACCCCTTCCGAAATCTGAATCCAAACCAGGCGACAGCTTCTTCGTCTTTTCTGCCGGATCGCTCGAGGTCAGCACTTTCCAACCGAAGTCGCCGGCGTAAGCCGCCGTCCCGGGCTCTTGGGTCTGGGAGGCCTGACCAAACATCCATGAGTTTGTGGTTTAGGGTTGATAGGGTTTAGGGCCTTAGGGGTTTAAGGTTGATAGGGTTTAGGATTTAGGGTTCAGGGGTTTAGGGTTTACCTCGCGAGTCATTAACACTATACTACAGGACTTCCAGCGGCCAGCACTTGCAAAACAGAAGATCATGGACGAAGCATGGTGACATGCCCGTGCGCAGAGCATCGAAAAGATCTCAGTTCCCTTGCAGTACCTTTTTCAACTGCTTGCATTTGAATTTTCGTGACACTGCATCCTAACATACAAAGAGAGGTTTCGACGAACTGTCTCCTCATGACTGCGTCTAATGTTCCAAGGCTTCTTGATGCCCGATCATGAGTTGCAAAACAATCGGCCTCGCAGTAGGCCATGTAGAGCAAGATCTGGCCCCAACCAGCCTGTGGAACCTCCAATGGCTTCCATTTAAGGCTCCTCACTCGCTTTTTTCCTAACAGCGTAAGATGACTGCGGCTACTAACTTTGGCCGCCCACGGCTTCCTGTCGACATACGACAATTAAGGGCTCACAGGCATTTCCAATGATCGGTCCCTGGTTGCTTTTAGCCAAAGGTATCCCAGCCGCACGAATTCTACATTCCGATGGCCCCAGCTCCGAACCCCAAACCCCCGAAGAACAAGCCGTTTGAACTCAATTTAGCATCCTCGTCCTTGTAAAAGGATATCGGGGCCGTGGGGGCATTGTAACACGGAGATGAAGAACCGTGAACTTCGAAAACGCAGGGACCTTAGAAATCGCTGCAAGGCCGTTGGGCACATCGGCAAACTTCAAGCCGGCTGATGGGCTCAAGTAGCCCGGAAACTTGCCGGTGATCCTTACGCAGAGGCGAAGATGCGACTGCGTGAATGACAGAAAGCTACGTCCGAGGAAGAACCACCTCTCCCGAAGCCCGCCAGAACGGTATCCGTAGCAGAAAACCTGGTCTTGATTTGTTATGTTAGTTACAGTTCCTGCTGAGATGTTCCTGCCTCAGTTTCGTCACTCAACCAGTGAGCTTGCAAGGCTCTACTTGGCTCCTATGAGTCTTTGCTATAATGGAGCCGGCGTGAGGCACCAGTGCCATGACCCAGGGTGGCCGTGCAGGCATTCAGCTTCACAGGTCAAACCCGGCACGCCGCAAACGAGCTTACCATCTGCTGCGGCCAGGATGCTCCGGCGTAATGTAACCCATCGTGGCCAGCATCGCCTCTTTTGTTCGGGGTGTTTCGGGTCAAGGCCATGGCTCTTTCGCTCAACACACTGCTCTGCTGGCAATACGGGACTCTTCGGAGAAGCTTCATCACATCTTCCAAACCAAACCCCACAGAATAGAAAGGGTGTTGAGATGCCGCTTCCATTTCTGTGATTACACTGGAGCCCCGAAGTGGAAACCCAAGGCAGCAAGGGCGCAATGCGACCGTGCTTGAGCTCCGTGGCGCGTCGGCGCTTGAAGTTCTCCACGCTGCCATCGGAACCTTGGAGGTCAGGATTTCTCCTGCGATCCTCGTTTCCTGATGTCCGCCCTAGCCTCGACCCAAACCTTTCAGTTTGAGTTCCTCAAATTTGGCGGCAGGGCCTCGTTTCTTTGTGGAACCAACAAACCTGCCTGCTGACCACTGCTGTTAGTGCTGCCGCTGCTGCCGCTGCTGCTGCCGCCGCCGCCACTGTTAACGAAACCACAAAAACGTACCCATTCCGATGCCCCATGGCGATGACAGTCATAGCAGTGACTGGTGGCAATTTCCCTTTTCAGACTTCCACTGACCAGACGACAAAGAGTGGCGGCAGTTATCTAGGGGCTCAGATATATGGTCACACAGAATGCCGTCGAGAAAACATGTATGTGCGTCGAGAAAACATGTATGTGCGAAGGCAGCAACATCTACGTACGCATGTACACATGTCCTTCTGCACGCATGCATGCATGGCATCTGTATCTGTCTGTGCTTCCATGTGCCAAACTATGTCTATGTCTATGTCTTTTTCTGTGTTTTTGTGCTCACATTTATGTTATTCCTACGTCTATGTCTATGCGCGTACATGTACATGTGTCTGCGCATGTACAGGCAGATGCAGACATGCACCCCTACACCTGTACCTGTAAGTGCATGTTCATGCACATGTGCAGGCGGCTGCGTCTGTGTCGATGCGTAGACACAGCCTCGTTCAGCGGAGCGGCTCAGGCCGGCGGGATCCCAGAAACCCACCGGTGCCTGGACGCCGAGCTCGCTCTCGAAGGCCTCCCGAGGCTTGGGGTCGAAAGGGTTCGAGAAGGAGACGCGGGGAAGCGGTTCTGCACCACCTCAACGAAACACCTGGAATGGCCGCGAGCCTTCCAGAAGGAGCTAGGGTTGCC